TATATATATTCTAGCTTTATTATGTTTTTCTCCACTCGCAGAAGCACTGCAGGTGCGTGATGTGATATGATGGCCATGTGAATCCTCATGTTCTGTTGTTTGCTGCTTTTTACGCATGTAAAATTAATCAAAGTTAGAAACAAATGTTAGTATATTTAACGGTTCATGGACACTTATCCTTTCTAATTTAATTCAATTCTAATTTAAAATAATCTTGTCGGTTAACGGTTAATAATCGGTTAACGAGCGTCGGTTAGGAAAAATAACCGAAATGAACATCCCTATTCAGCAGTGATGTCTAGACAAAGCTACTTGCTATTCTGTAACGGCTGTCCTTTACTTTTGCCCTTGTTGGAAGAGGAGTTTGTTAATGTTTAACTATGTTCTGGCAAAATTCATGTTAGAGAAACTGCATCAGACTGCCCATCTGACTGTATTTTTTCTTCTTTTAACAAGCACAGCAGCATGAGGTTGATCTGAATGAGGCATCTCTGATTCACCCCTTAAAGAAGATGGCTTACATGCTGTTGTTGCTGGGTTTTTATAATGGTGAATGTAGTGAATAATGAATAAATGAATAAAAAGTACATAGGGATTCCAAAGAAAACATGGTAACTCCCAGTTTAACCCATCACTACCTCTAGGAAACGTCCATTCACAATTCTTGACTCTGTTTGGAATAAAATGCTTGCTGCTAAATGAATACTGCTCACATATGTAGTAAACAATGTATATTGACTACGATTTTTTCGTACGATTTTTTTTTTTGACTACGTCATTTGTCCTCATAACATTGCATGTTAGTGGTGGCGTTTTATCGTCTCAGAAATACACTACCGGATATATCAATAAGGAATATAATACAAGGAATTATTGCTTTTATTCTGCAAGGAGGCATTAAGCCGATCAAAAGTGACAGTAAAAAAAGGCTCAAATAGATGCTTTTTTTTTTTTTTACTTTCAAAAACTTTTTAAAAATCCTGAAAAAAATATCACAGCACAACTGTTCTGAACATCATTTAACTACAATAAATACAACAATTTAATTTACTGTATTTTTTTATTAAATAAATGCAGCCTCTGTGATAAGAGACTTCTTTCAAAAACATTTTTCCCTAAGATTTTGAACTATGGTATTTATTATATTATTAAAAAAACTGTAAAGGTAGATTGTTAGGTTAGTATGCTTTCCTGAACACTGCTTATGAAGCTGAGGGGGAAGTGTCATGAGACAGTAAAGCAGCAGTGCACTAATGTAAATAGCAAAGCCTGGCAGAATGTGTCCAGACTAGTCAAACAAGGCAAATGTTCTCCCATCTCTAAATAGCATACTATTGATTGGTGACTTGTCTTTGCTGTATTACTGTACCTATGTGAGACCAAATGTTTATGATGCTATATTAAAACTCCACAGCACATCCATTAGCAGGTCATTACTCATTACAGGACACTGTGAATACATGGCTCTTGGCCATCTTAAAAATGACTGTAATATGAACACTTTTGACACTTCCTGCATCAATATAGTCTAAAGTTTGGCCTATATCTTGTTCATCATAGGTGGTACGTTATTTTCAAACGAGATAAAGTATTAACCTTTTAGTGCCACTCATTGGGCATTTGATTTCAAAACTGCCGATACTGTACATGCATGAACCAATGTAATAAATTGTTGACATAGGCATGTTTACGTGTTTTGGAGAAAATTGTACATGCTTTTTAGAACCACTCACTGGACACTGAAACTGCCACAAAACGTGCAAGAAGCAAAGTGATATAATTTTTGACACCAAAAGGCACACATTTTTCATGAACCTGGGTTGCAAAATAGTCCGCTCTAGTTTCTAGATATGGCTTGGGTCACTCCTTCATTGTAAACATATGGGAATTTTCTCTCTCTCCTCAACAAGCCCCACAATTTGATGTAGTATTCATGATGACAATACAAATAGTGTGGGACAAGTGGTTTATTCAAATCACTAACTGCATACATGAGCAATATAATACTGATGTTTCCAGTAGCAAACTCCACTAATTACTTTGTGCAAAAACTTGAATTCGCCAGAGGGGACAGATTAGTGGAATCCAAAAAATGTTCTATTTGTAGCTGTAAGTATTAGATCCCATTATGGATTTTCCTGCAGTCTTAGAATAAATCGTTATAAGTGTCTTGGCTAATGTTGGAGTGGATATGCAAAAGCTCCGTCAAGTGCATCAAGCACATTAGAGCACAAAGGTGAATGTGCTTCATGAATAGACACCATTAAAAGCAATGCACACACACAGACTGTCAAATAGCGGGCAATTTTTCAGGAATTCACCCTATTAGAGTTTCCAAAGTAGCTTCAATTTAGAAAAATGTTTTTGGTAATTAAATGGCTTTCTGAGGTCAAACCAATTTCAGATAATCTAATTACTTTCTACTGTATAGCTACAGCAGTTTTTGTTTTTCTGTCAGAAACACAACCAATTCCAAAATATAACACTGCAAGTGGTCCACAACTTAATCAATATGTTTATTTTAATCCCGTAGTGTTAATGACCTATGCTGTAGCAATTGTGTTATTACACATATGGCTATATCTGATTAGACTGCAGACAGTGCAAGTTAGCATAAAACTGATAATTCAACATCTACTTCCAAAGGAGGAATTGCACCATTTGAAATGGAGATATACAGCTTTTCATGGCAGGTCTGTCCTGCAGCTACATACATCTTTATGCTAATCATTAACATTTCATGCAGTGAAGGCCCAGGGGCGGAGCTTGCCTTTCTGAATGAGGATGCAAATGAGAAACCCTGACTTAAAATGTAAGATCCAGAATCTGGATACAGATTATACAAAAGTATTTTTAATACATGCTTCAAAAACTTATGAGAAAAGGCCTAATATTGTTTGTGTTCCAAAACCTGTCTGTTTGTTGGCTGTGGGTGTGTGACCCATTGAAGCTACCCTATAAAGTCCATCACATAAGATGAGGTAAGATGAAGTAAAGAAAAAAGAAGTAAAATGAGCCCCAACCCCCACCTTAACTTTTTCTTTTAACAATAAATGTCACACAAATCCCATCTCATCACATTTTATGAATTACTGTGGCTTTCTTCATTTTGTCATTTTATATAAATATCAACATTTGTGAGAATTTGTCAGTCAGAAAAGTTTAATGATAAGATTAATTGATGTAATTATGTCTCTCTGGAAAACAGTGATCTGTGCATTATGTGCATTATACATTGCATTATGTTCAATATCAAAGTTTTTTTTTTTTTGTCTATTTGTTAATGAGGGATTTTTAGATTTGTGGAGTAAAATAATTGAGTGCAATAATTCCATTTGAATGCACAGTGTTGCTATTATGACACATCTTCAATCAAAATATGCACCGTTAAATATGTATTCATATTCCTTTTACCTTTCCAATGAATCTCTTTTAATGGGATTCTGCTGTCAAAACATACAGTATAGACAAAATCATGCGCTTACCGCCATGGCCATCAACACCTCAACAAAACTAGCAGTTCAAAACCATCCTTCAATTGTGAAAGACTAGGAATGTGCCTGACGCACAGTCACTGATCCACCCTTTAAACATACCCATGCGTAAGACAATAATGCCAGCAAAAAGCGAAACAAAACGTTTACAGTACGCACTTATGTAGCGCTGTAATCCATTCTGCATTGAGCATCCATCCAACAAACCTGCTGCAAGCAGGCACTGGATACACTGCCTAGATAGCAGCGATATCCGAATCATGAATTCGTGAATCGTTCTTTGGAGTCGGATCTTTTCGATTAATTAATTGCCATGGTTCGCTAAACTGCTTGAACATTTTATTCATGAATCGGACTCGAGTGAACAATTCATGAGCACTGTCTTGCTCATTAATTTACTGTAGTAGCTTAATACAGCAGCAATGTTACAAAAATTTTTTTTTTTTTTCAAACATGTTAAAACATGCAAAACTGTTTCACCTGAGAGATTTAAGTTACTGTTAAGTGTAAATGCAATTAATTAATTAGAAGGTTAATCATGTTTGCCACAAAACACATAAACACGATCGGAATACAGTCAAAATAGTAGTAGACTAAATAGTAGCAAACATTATTTACGAATACCTTACCTACCCTTTTACAACATGCACATATGCCACGCTGAGAAGTCAAAAGTCGCAGATGACGAAATGACGTCACAACTTTAAAGAATTCTGAGAATTCTCGGTTTCTGAACCGACTCTTTGAAAAGAGCCGTTCAAAAGAACCGATTTGCGAACTATGCATCCAACAGAGCGACTGCGATCAAAGCGCTCGTTTTCTCTGGAGTCTGAGAGGTTACGTTACAGTCTTTTGTCCACATCTTTCACTGGCAGTAGTTAAGTCGTGCAGTATTATAACAGTTTCGCGGATGATGACGCGCTGTGAAGGATGACAGCTGCAGACCACCGGACAGTTATGTTTTACCTCATTTCCAGGACAGTTTCATTTCGAGTAAGTGCTATATGCTCGCTAAAAACACATGCTGTTGCCTTTTGACGCTCTGTACATCATTAACACTGTAAAGGCAAATACAGCACGCTTAATAACGGAGCTGTTCAGCAGTGTTTCTGCAAGCACTGAAACAACGAAGGCACTCGAGCTGCAGTCACAATACGCTGTTTATACAATAAGCCAATGCCTTCTGTAATGCTAAACGACATGACACGCGAATTATACATTTATAATATGTATGTAAGATAGAACTCTTAAGCCGATATGCAAATTATTTCAAGACGCCCGTGTGTTTTCTTATTGTGACAGCTCGTGCGCGTTTACGCGATTCGCTCACATATTGACTTACCTCGCTTTACCCCGTCTGCACAAGCGATGTTTTTGTTTTTATTTCACAGTCCCCTTCTTATAGTGTGCGTCATGTCCACCTACTTCCGCGTTCGGGGTCGAAAATCAGGCTGAAAAAGAAAATAAATCGGAGAGGGCATGCGCGTACTATCGTCTACTCCAGTGCTAATCATTTAGATACACAGCTGATCCAGTGCTGTCGCTGTGGGGTCATTAGTTACTCTTACATTTCTATTCAGAATTGAGTGGGAACTTTTTGCGTGCTAGGGGTGGTGATGAAGCCTTTGTTTTGCTCACATCTGATTGTTTGAGATTCGTGTGTCCATACAGTCCTTTCATTAGTTAAAATGGTGCAATATAGGGTGTGTGTTCACATGTTTGTTTTTTTAATGAACAGAATTCAAAGATGCTCCTTTCTAATCACTAGTGGTTAAAGACAATAAAAGAGCCCCTGATTGCACAGGGATGGGCTTGATGTACTTCCGCGTTCGGGGTCGAAAATCAGGCTGAAAAAGAAAATAAATCGGAGAGGGCATGCGCGTACTATCGTCTACTCCAGTGCTAATCATTTAGATACACAGCTGATCCAGTGCTGTCGCTGTGGGGTCATTAGTTACTCTTACATTTCTATTCAGAATTGAGTGGGAACTTTTTGCGTGCTAGGGGTGGTGATGAAGCCTTTGTTTTGCTCACATCTGATTGTTTGAGATTCGTGTGTCCATACAGTCCTTTCATTAGTTACAATGGTGCAATATAGGGTGTGTTCACATGTTTGTTTTTTTAATGAACAGAATTCAAAGATGCTCCTTTCTAATCACTAGTGGTTAAAGACAATAAAAGAGCCCCTGATTGCACAGGGATGGGCTTGATGTGCCCTGCTCCTCCTTGTCTTATTTGGAGGAACACAACAGATGATCTTATGTGTCATGACAGGAGAGAACAGCTAAAGGCTGTGTCATGCTTTAAAAGGATTTACACGTTTTATCTGCACATTCTGTGCTCAGAGCATTGTCTAATCATGCTTTGATTCATTGTTATGTAATACTTGTGGTTATGAATTGTGCATGCATAAATAAAGTACAACAATGTGGACGCTACAATCCATTACATTTGTGTGTGTGGATATGTCATCAAATGTGTAAAACTAAACCAGTAAAACAAGTTTTTCTTGATATTCTTGTATTAAAAGATACACGTTTCCTTAAAGGACAAGAACAAATCTTAGACTCATTGGAAAAATAAGATCTGTAACATACATTATAGAAGAATACAGAAGTGATTCATAATGAAATGGCACAGTACAGTACAATAAAATTGTGCATCTAAAAAGCTTCTGCACAAATACCACTTCTTTCACATGATCTGTTTTGAGCAACAGCTGTTTCCTTTCATTTAGCACTGCGTGAACCATTCTTACACCATCTGCTGGCTGCATAAACTAGTCTTTTTAGTTTAGGACTCTAACTGAAATTTTAGACTATTTCTTTGATACTATTTAAAGTAAAAAATGTGTAATCATAACACAATTCAGAGGTGGATGCACTCATCTAAATAGGTTCACGCTAGACACAGGATCACAATTTAGTCAAATGAAGGGGAAACATGTTAAGACAGGACTATCAATACACTCATTCCAGTACCTGGAATCCCAAACAGCAGTGCTGTTATGACGAAGCAACCGAAACAATAACATAAACAGGGGTGAAAGATACAGTAGAATCATAGAATGCAGTACAAGAGAGTGAAGAAAAAAAACAAAGGAAACACAAGGATATTTTATTAGGCTCATCACCCGACAATTACAGAAAAATGCAAATAATAACTGCTGCCTTCTGAGCAGCTTTTCAAATACTAAGGTACAAAAAGGATCGTTCGTCATGACAACCAGTCAACTGTTCACATCTTCTCATGCCAAGCCCTTATAAAGTTTGTTTAGAATGCTACATGGTCAAACTGCATAGTGTAGTGTGTACGGCCGACAGAGCCTATATACTTCATTCTCAAAGTGAACCAAGGTTAAACAGTCTTGTTATAACACGAGTGTGCAGTGCTTGGCATTTTCCATGATAAGAAGTGTTCGGTAGAGTTAGGCCTGTTGCAATAATCAATATATCGACTTATCGCGCAATATATGTACATGACCTCAATCATTTTTGTTGACGCAATATATCGCCCATTATATTTAATTTAAAATTAACGTCACCATGTTTTGTCCATTCCACTTGCGTCTGTGTCTTTTGCAGCTTCTTGTACATAACGTGGTGTAGTCATGAGTTGCTAGTTCAAATTTTAAAAAATGCTTCTACAAAAAAAGTTTCATCTGAAGATATGGCCTTGTTTAGGATAGCGTGCACCCTTAATTTACAGAGAAAAGAAGGTCCGGGAAAAATCTGTAGATGGAAAAATCTCCATAAAAGTGCATTTTTCTTTTTTTTTTTTGTACTTGTTACTTTGCACTTTTTGTTAGAAAATATTTATTTACTATTTATTCAAGTTTTTTAAAGTATCTAATATTTTGATACTTAATTTCCATGATCTAAATATTCTTAAAAATTAAGAGGCCTTCTTGCATTATTATGCTGTTACATTATGATTATATATTCAGTGGCATAAAACGGTCTTTAAAATGACAATAATATCGCTTATCGCAATTATTTCTGGGGCAATCGCACAACAAAAAGTTGTTATCGTGACAGGCCTAGGTAGAGTGCTTCTAGAAAGGGAAGAGGAGTAATATGTCAGAAATATAAGAAAGTTCTAATAGGAAACTTACAAAAGACAAAACGGCACATAGTTCAAGCACACAGTCACCCCCCTCTCCCTTACAGACCCCCATCTCCACAAGAGATATTCAGCATTACTAAAGTGCATCCCTGCAAGACTTGTCATGAAAAGTGATTGTTGGTTCTATTTCAAAAAGAGCAAAACATGTAAATAGATATACGTAGCAGTGTATTTTGCTTATTTAAAGGTTTTTATTCATTTTAAAAGTTTGTTTGCATGATATAAAGGTTTTTAGAAACTAGGACTGGGCGATATAGCTAAAAAAATGATTAACGATATAATGTTTCATATCGTTCGGTATCGATAATTATTT